AAAAAAAAAAAAAAAAATCACTGTGAAATAAAGATGCTCTCTAAAAGGCAAATTAAGAAAGAGCAGATTTCCAGTGGACTAGAACTAAAAAAAATGCAAACGTGAACCCTTCAGGCCAAAGGATTATAGGACTATAAAAAATCAAGCCACCAGTGCTCCTTAAGGGTAAAGCTTATACCTAAAGGAATACTGATTATACAAAACTATAATAGAAAACGCTTTGTCCTGTTTAATAGAAAATTAAAATAATGGCTAAGAGCAAAAGAAGCAAAAAAGGTAAGTGTTCTAAGGTTCCTGTTTTATCCAGGCCATAAAGCATTAATTTTTGAATTCATATAACAATACAGCAACAACTGAAAGAATAATTTAAAAACTACAACAAGCTAATAAACGAAGTAAAAATATGGAATTCTTAAAAATATGATTAATCCAAAGAATATAAGGACAATAGGGGCTGGGGACTTAACTCAGTGGCAAAAGCGCCTGCCTGGCAAGCGCAAGGTCATGAGTTCGGTTCCTGGTACCGGAGAAAAACAAACAAAAAAAAAAAACAAAGAATATAAGGACAATAGAGGAGCAAGTAATAGATAAGACAACTACAAATGGAATTTATTTATTTAACTATTTATTTTTTATGACTTAAATATAAACAGACTAAAATATGACAACAGATTGGGGTAGGAGTGAGAAACATCACCAAATTTACAAAAGACACACATTAAATATAGGAATACAGAAAAAAACAAAAGGATTGTAAAACACATACAATGTACATTCTAGCCAGAAGGCCAATATAGCTATCTATTCAAAGTAAGTCTTTAGAATAGGAAAAATCACGAAAATCAAGACAGGTTAGAAGAACTGATCTACCATGTAGATGTCACGATCTAAAATTTTTATGTGAGTGATAACTGTCTCCATATACATAAATCAAAAACTAAAAGAATTAAATGACAAATAGGCAAACCCACAAAATCCTACAGGGAGACTGATATAGTAACTGAAAAACTAAACAAAAATTGATAGATACAGAAGAGTACCACATTTAAAAATGCAATCAAAATCATGTATACAAATCAATGGTACCCAATACTGGTAAAATACATACTACTTTCAAGTACATATGGAATACTTACCCAAATTGACCATAAATAAAGCAAACCTCAACACATATCAAAGAAGTAAAATTATATAGAATACCAAGATCACTTGATCTTAGTACAACTAAGAAATCAATAAAAATAGTTACTGAAAATAATCACACTTGCTTAACCCATGAGTCCAACAAATTACAGTGGAGACAAAATATTTTTAACTGAATGATTACAAAAATGTGACATCAAACATGACAAAAATGTAGAATGTGGTTCCTACCATAATTAGGGGAAAATTTAGAGCTTACATTCATATAGTAGAAAAAAGCTGAAAATTAACCTTCTCGTAAGTATATAGCACAAAGCGTGGAAAAATAGTAAATTAAACCCAAAGAAAACACTATAGAAAGGATAGCAGAAACTTTAGGGAAAGTGTACTACAGAAAGTTTTGTACAATCAAAGTTAATTCTCTGAGAATATTAGTAAAATCATATACGCCCTTAGCCAAGACGAAAAATAAGAAGACACAGCTGATAATAACAAATAAAATGGGAGAAATCATTGCTGATCTTCAGATTTCAAGAGATAATGGTTTATAAACATCAGGGTAAATTGTGAGTGTATGGCTATACTGAGATAATATACCCACCTTCATCCTCACTAGAGGAAAACGACAGAAGAGCTCTTACTATTTTCCTTTCTTTGCAGCTTAGCCCAATACGTGGCACACAGTATATTGTCAATAAATGTTTGATGGATGATTGCTTCCCGAAGAATTCAGACCAGGTATGGACATTTAACCTTACTCAGCAGGCTACAGGGCAGTGGTGGTGAACTCACGGCCTGTATGCCACGGCAGACTGTTTATCACTGAAAGCTCTAACAGGTTCACCATTACTGCTACAGGAAGTTAGCTTGCTTTCTTAAAGAACTTCATCCAAATTCCCTAGTTATTCTGAAGCTGATCTTCTTTGGTTTTTAACAGAAAAGGAAAGAGAAATCAAAACCATGCAATCACAAAAGTCACAACTGGACAGAGTGTACTTACTGATATGTAAATTCACTCTTTGTGAAAGATTAGTTTTGTAAAAGAACAAGAAAGACAACTTTTTTCTAGCCCCCTAGTAATAATTCATAGGGTCTATATTTCTTCATGTTCTAAAGGTCCTTTTCTTCTTCTCTTAAAATAGTTCTTTAAATATTTTAACCAGTGATTTTCAAATAAAGGGGGTTAAGCTTATATCAAAATCACCTGGTACTATTTTGAACTCTGACGGAAGTTTGTTACATAAGGCATGCGTACTGGGGGTGGTGTGTAAGAACCACTACTTCAGAGCTTTGTTTCAACTATTCAAGATGACATATATTCAACAACGCTGTATTAAGTGCCCACTAAGTGCCTGGCTCTGTGCTAGACACCGGGACACAAGGCACAGACCTCGGATCTCCTGAAGGAGCTCAGAGTTCAAAGGAAGAGCCTGTATGCAAAGAACTCTCACAAAAGCAAGTTGCAACCTGCGTTCTAACCCTAGAGGACTGTGCTGAGAAGTCTGACTGCACGGGCTTGAAGACCTCAGCCAGAAGAAATGGTGTGACTGCAGCAAGGGCAATCACGGGCACAGGAACAGGAAAAGAGGCCCATGTACTGGGCACTTGTACGCCACGAACTAAGTCCAATACAACGTGATAAGTGCTAGGAAACAAGTGTAAACAGTGCTATGGTCTCAGTGTTTATGTGCCCACTCCCAAATTTCTACGTTGAAATCCAAACCCTCAACATGACAGTGTTTGGAGGTGGGGCTCTGAGGAGGTGATTTAGACTGTGAGGGCAGAGCCCTCAGAGATAGGATGACTGTTCTTACAAGACCCCAGACTAACCACCCACCCCTCCCCACCCCCGCCCGGAGGTTACAGTAGGAGGAGGCCATCTGGGAGG